AATTATTTTAATTTATAATTAATTTTTTTTATTTATTATTTAATTTTTTATTTTTTATTAACAATTAATTTTTTTATTTTTTATATACATGGGTACTACAATGAAAGATTGTAATTATGACTTGTTGCGCGTAGTGTTTGGTTATTTAAAGCTTAAAACTTGATTTTCTTCTGAAAACGAATATATAAGAATGTCAAGAGAAAACATACACCGAGCTTTATAATAACTTTATTATTAAATTTATTTCAGTATTATCGTTTGAATCCATCAAATTGATTGTAACATTATGGAAGCAGTGCGGCTTATACGAAACAAATCCAAACACAGTTCAAATGAATGCTGCATTTTGCGTTGATAACAACGCAACTAAATTCAAGGTCTCATGAAAATTGGCTGTGTAATTCTTTTACAGAATCGATTCACAGTCGAAACTGCTTGACTCAACTTTAAATTCAAAACAATCGGTTTAATAAAAAATCAGTTTATAATATTCTAAATCGATTGTAAAAAAAAAATAAATAAATAAAACAATAAAATGGTAGTGTCAGTCGGGATAGTTTATTCAACATCGGTTTATTAGTAATTCATGTTTGATAGGACTTAGAATCGATCGATACTTTTATTAAGGCGAGAAACTATTCTTTATATACATTTTTAATAATAATTAATCAAATTCTGCGTAAGAAACAATCCTTTGGTGAAGAAATTTGAAGCATATGTACCATATCTATGTACTGTATTGTTAGCAATTACTAATTTCGACCCGTGGTCGCCTTCCTGAGAACAAAAACTGTTCCAGGATCACAATTGAAGCTTAGCCACAAGCTCTTCTGGGACGCCCCAAGATTAGTAATGGTAAAAAAACATTTTAAACCAGTTTTTTGTGTTTTTTAATTAAAATACGAAAATGTTTTAAAACATAAAACAGCGAAGTCGAATTGTTTAATTTCTGTGCCGATCAAATTTCACGATGCAAGAGCGACCGTCCAATCAATTTTGAAGATTGTTACACAATTGATAAAAAAATTTTTTATACTTTTACAATACTATTTCGGGGAACCTGCGCAACCTATCTTTGCTATGAAAGATGATGAATTTCACCAAGTAAACTCGAAGCCTTTGTAGCATATTTTATTAATATCGGTTGAATCCCTCTGAATCCCACAACTTTTATATTACAACGAAAATATATCGGAACAAGAAACAGTATATAAAAATACTATTACTAGGCCGCCTGAGTTTAGTTTGCTGCGCTAAAAAAAGGTAGAAACGATCTAAAGATACTGATTTAATGAAGCAAAATGGGCGACAAACGTTGGTATATAAGTTTTTCTGTGATTTATTATATTCACTTAGTAAAAATTACTGTTTTTAAATAAAATAGTTAAATAAAAATGAGTTAATAACTCTATATTATGGTTTTTTATTAAAATTTTTTTTTAAAATAGAGATTTTATTTTTTTTTTAAGGTGAGGCCTTGCTTGTATCTTTATTTAGCAATTTATTGAGTTAAAAACCCAGTTTGTACAAGACAAATCATCATAAATTACATTCAAGAATATAAGCTCAGACTAATTTTCTGTGACCTAAACCTACTAAGAGTGGTCAAGACTCACCTAGATTTAATAGTTAATATATAATTTGTGGGTAAGCTATATTGAATCCATGCTATGGACCATTGGTTAAATTTATATCATGCTTGTCCTATTGGGGCAATTGTTCTCATTATTGTTATTATCATCAGTGTGAAGTTGATTAGGTAAGCCGCATAGACAGTTGTATGTAAATTTTCTGTGTAATTGCCAGTTTCTATGCTGAGGCTGTGTTTGTGTTGCTGGTGCTCGATTATGTGCTTGTATATTGTTTTGTTTTTTCCACTTTGCTAGTTGGTCGCAGTAAGGTTTCCAAATTTGCTCATGGGTCTCTGCAGATATATTTAGTAATATTTGGATAAGGATATTGGCTGCTTCTTTATAGTGTATATCCCCTACTAGCATGGCTTGTATGAGGTCTGATGAGATAAAGCCTTTTAACATGATTGATAATGGATGTTTATCTGTATTTGGGGGGAAGACTGGTTGATTGATAGGTGAGATCCAATTATATCAATTATTGTTTTTTGTTGTGCGAATGTTAGATCTGCTAGCTGTTTACATACTATTTCTGTAATGGAGCTTTGTATTATTTGCTTAAGTATTTGGGGCCTCGAGCATATAAGCCAGTGTGTTGGGGAGTCTAGTGTATTACAAAAGAAGCAAGTTGAGGATTGATAAATTTTTGGCAGTATGTGATAGAAGTGTGAATATGTGGGTAGATCATTAAGCATAGTTTTGACTCTAAATGCTTTCATTTTGTTTAGCTTTGGGGATGTACTACTCAAGGTAACTTTTTGATTGTTGTTTAGATATTGCCAGGTGGCATTCCAGTCAATTGTATGAGTTTATTCTTTTCATTCCATATTGCATTTTTGTGAAGCCCACATAGCTATGGTCTCTGCTCTGCAAATACTCTTAATGAATTGTCTTGTTGGTTTTTCTACACATTGCTGTTTCTATACAATAATTGAATGTAGGTTATATATATTAGTATGGTTAAACTGGAGAGTATATGTTAGAGGCTGTAGGTACTTCTTGGCAAGTAGGTCTGGTGCATTATTAAATAGGTTCTCTGAGTGTGTTTGGACTTTGTGAAGTGTAAGCTGAATATTAAAAGACTTAACCATATTAAGAAGTGAGTGCCATATTGGCCAGTATTTAATTTGAAGTACTTTGAAGATTTTGTAAAGGTGTTTAGAAGTTTGGTGTACTTGGCAATAACAGATTGTAAATCAGTAAATATATCAGCCTTGGCATTCTGAGGTAGTGTAACAATGGCTGATAGGATTGCTATAAGCTCAGCTTTGTATGAGAATAGCCAGTTTGTAATTCTGGCTGCAAATTTGTTATTAACTTGATTTTTGTGTACTTGTACCCAGCCTATTCCTATGGAGCAGTTGCTAGTACCTATCTCTGTTACTGAGCCATCTGTATAAAATGTAAAGGTGTGTTTGTTATAGTTATTAAGTGTTTTTTGTATAAGAGTTTGGCATACTTTACTATCATAGAACAGAGTAGGAGCCAGAGAATCTGTAATATTAATGCTTGGTAGAGTTGGTAATATAGGTGGGTGTTTGATTGCTATAGAATACAAGAGATCAATATAGTTAGCATTGAGCTTGAGTTGTTTATTAACTGTTTTTCTTAGGAACTGTGTGAATATATTCGTAGAGAATTCAATTGTGCAGTAATTAACAAAGCGGTTTGAGTTGAGACTACATCCTGGGCATAGTAAGCATAGAATTGGTGAAAGAGGATATGGCAAGTAGTGATGAGTATTAATATTATGCTGCCAGTATGTAATAGACACCTTGTTAGTTTGTTGTATTCTTTTTCTAATTTGTCTAATAATAATTTTATCTTGATAGTAGGTAAGGATCTATGGTTTTAGTTTTTTTAGAATATTGATAGATTAATATATAAATGGGTTACTATCCACTAGTTGATATTGTGAAGCTAAAGTATGGTATATTGAATTATCTATTACGTCTCTTCAAGAAATAAGAACCATTGTAGCTTTTTGCCTTTAGGCAAGTGAAGAAGTCTTGGTGAAATATATTACTATTCCAGTAAGTATTCATTATCTGCTAAACAAAGTTGCTCCAAATAGAGAATATTTTTATGTTGGAGTTGTTGTTTGAACACTTTATATTTGGTATTTATGCTTAGTATTGGCTCTAAAGAGATATTGCTATACTGGATTGTCTGGGGCCAGGCAGTATTTGGGTTGGATATTATGCTAACACCTGCTTGTAATATGAGTTGGATAAGTTTGCATGTAGTAGTGTATCGATTAGGACTATCAATAATAGATTGAATATGTTGGAGAATAGTAGTGACTGACCAGAAGATATTTTGTAGTTGCTGGAGTCTGATATAAGTAGAGGTACCAAGTATAGAGCTATTGTTAATTCTGAGTAGAAAATTGCAAGTATGATGTTGAAGTTGTATGTTCCAAATATTATGAATATTATAAATATTGTGGTTGAGCATTGTACTATTAGGGGTTGAACGTGAGAGGTGGACTTTGTGTTTAGCAATTGTAAGTTATTTGTCTAATATCTTAGAGTATGTGGATTGGGGGATGACAATTAAATATAGAGATTTTATATACTATATGTAAATATGTATTTATTAGAATTTTAAAGATATTAATAAAATAACTAAATACATTTTACTGAGTTTGTTAGCTTTTATTAAATGAACAATCAAGTATATTTCTTTGTATTCCTTTTTTTTATATAAAATTGCAACTTGTAAATTGATTGGTTAATTATCATGTGATTATCAGAATTTATAAATTAGGATATTTATAAGAGTGATTTATGATTTATGCAACCTGAACAGTCACTTCTGTTGCAATATTTATTTTGAAAAATTTTTATATAAAAAAAATATTTAATTAAAAATAGCATATTTATTAAAAATATTTAAAATATAAAGAACTTAAAAATGTATTTAAGAAGGGTGTGGCAACTTAGTGAAGTGGTAGAGTTGTCGCACCCCCAGATAGCAGGTCTAGAGTTCGAATTCCACAGATGACATTTTTGAAAAATAGCTCTGTGATACAGTTAACGGCTATTCAACGATTGATAGAACTAGAAATTTGTAATCTCAGTCACATCTTCTAGAATGGGAGCCTTGGTGCAATAAACCTGAAATACTGGAAGAACTGAAAACCTGTTTGGCAAGTCCCAAGTTGGGAGGTAGTGCGATCTTTAACAGTACTACAGGAGGACCGAATTTGGAACTAGGGACTAAGATCAGAGAACCATGTGATCAGGTCCTTAAGTGGGGAGACATACCAGCTGAACCACTGGGTCACCAAAACTGGAAGAAAAGGACATGTGCTCTGGAAGCATGTACCAAGAGAAGGAAGACCATATAGACACCTATTTCATATTGTATATTTTAGATTGTATATAACTTAATAGTTAAGCTTACAATAATAAGGATATAAAAATATACTGTTTGATGAATTATTAACTGTTGATCTTCTGCAAATATCTTTAAACCAAATAATTAAATTTGTTTAATACTATAATATTATAGATATAGGCAGTTAATTTTAGGAATTTATTACAAGCTAAATACTATGTTCTTATGCTGCAAAACAATGAATATATATATTTATGTCTTTCTATTATATGCTCTAGAATAATATACCAGCACTATTTTTAAACAATATTGGTCACAAAAATAGCAAAGTTTCATATTTAACTTATATCATTATAATAGTATTATAATGAACAAAATAGGTTATTAGAACCTTTTTTAGTTGCTAATAAGTT